GTGTAGTGATATGTACTTTATATAGGTGTTGTTAAGAGTAAACAGTTACTCGCTCTAAAATGTTTGAAAGTGAAAGTCACTCAGTCATGTCCAACTCTGCAACCCCATGAACTATACAGTCCATGGAATTCTCCAGGCCAGAATACTGGAGTGGGTAGCCTTTCACTTCTCCAGGGGATCTTCCCAACCCAGGTATCAAAGCCAGGTCTTCCACATTGCAGGCAGATTCTTTATCAACTGAGCTATCAGGGAAGACTAAAATGTTTAGCATGTCATAATCACTCAACAAATATCAATTACTTTCTCTTCCCCAAATCTCAAGTGGGGAGTTGGCAAAATTTGAGGAGAATGTGGATTATGATTTTTTTTCCTCTTTTAATCTTACCTTCATTTTTTCCTGCTTCCTAAGAAGTGAGAGTCCTATTGTTAAAGATCATATGTTCTTATATTGTTGGTTGTCCAGCCCATGTCACCAGGGAGTAAAAGGAACCAGGGACCATCTGTGTACCCATCTCCACTAACTGTCCTCACTCAGTGGACAATAAATACCAAGGCCTGGCATTTTGTAGCTTCCAGGTAAATGTTTTATGGACTTCCCTGGTGGTTCAGATGGTAGAGTGTCTGCTTACAATGCAGGAGACCCTGGCTCAATCTCTGGGTCGGGAAGATCCCCTGGAGAAGGAAATGGCAACTCACTCCAGTATTCTTGCCTGGAAAGTTCCATGGATGGGGGAGTCTGGTAGGCTACAGTCCATGGGGTTGCAAAGAGTCAGACACGCCAGCAATATAGCAGGGAAGGATGGAGGCAGTGAGGTGGGAAGGGAGAAAAGGAAGGAAGAATGAAGTTGTTTGGATTTTTTTTTTTCTACCATAAATCCCCAAGAACAGAGTCCTTGACAGGCACGGGATGAAGGAAAGCAATGTGTCCCTAAAGACACACTTTCTCCTGCAGAATTTAACAGTGTCTGCATTGAGTCTAACACTTCTTCACTGCCTCCTTTCATGGAACAAGCAGACATGAAAAGAAACAGACTAGGAAAAGACATCTATTTCTAGACCATGTTGCTGGGGTACAATTGATGGGGAAGGTGAAGAAGCGATGCCATTTTCTTCTTCGGTAGGATTGGTGATGGAGAAAATGTTGTAAAGTTTGAAGGGGAGGACTGATGTGATGGAAACTCATCCTGGGTGTGGCCTCAGGCAAGGCGCCTCACACATGGAGTTTTTCCATCTGTAAGATGTCAGTGCTGGTCCAGATCAATGGATCTCAATCTTGGTTCTCCAATAGAACCACCCAAGGAGTTTACAACTGTCCCCATGCCCAAGCCGTAGTCCAGACAGTAGACTCACCTTAGGTGGGTCACAGGCATCAGTAGTTTCAAAGTTTCCCAGATGATCCCAATATGCAGCTGAACTTGAGAACTACTGGGCCAGGTGGTCCCTAGACCCTCACTGCCCTAAGTGGTTTTCAACAAACTGCCTGGGCACCACTTGGGTTCCTTTTTGTAATCAAGACTCAGCCCTCATTCCAGAGCCACACAGACAGAACCTGCATTTTCACAAGTGCGTGCTAAGTCGCTTCAGTCGTGTCCGACTCTTTGCGACCCTATGGACCATAGCCTGCCAGGCTTCTCTGTCCATGGGATTCTCCAGGCAAGAATACCGGAGTGGGTTGCCATTCCCTCCTCCAGGGGATCTTCCCAAACCAGGGACTGAACCTATTTCTCTTATGTCTTCTGCATGGCAGGCAGGATCTTTGCCACTAGCGCCACCTGGGAACATTTTAACAAGAGACCCCCTGGTAATTTGTATTGACATTAAAGTTTGAAAACTCTGGCTTGGACACCCTCCCATCCTGCCTTTTCATCTAACAGTGCTTTACTTCTGGTGTTGGTATTTCAATATAACTTCTGGATCTCAACCTCAGGCAGATCATAAGGGTTGAAAGCTTTATATGTGTGTTATGTGTATATATTCAGCAAGCACAAAAATACCCCATCACACCTGTTCCATGCAGGGGGCTAAGTGGAAATAGATTGGGAAAAAATAAGTATCCCTGTAAAAAGGGCGGGTGATTTTATGATTCTGATCAAAGATTGCTTTTCCTTTGTAGAATTCAGTAGGGCCATCTAAAGAGCAGTTCTCTTCAAAGTCAGCCCTGTCGGTGTGGTTATTACAAACACCTGCCTCTAAGTGGCGGTTTGTGACCAGCATCTTCTCGCCTGGCCGCACATCATTTCCAGGTTTTCTTCTCTGTTCCTCATGTTTTCTGACCATGCCCTCGTCACTAGCTCTTCCCAGGAAATAATGGGTGCATTGGCGGAGGAGTGTTTGACTTCCTCTGAAAGTTTCCCCTTTCATGTTCCCCTTGTCATGTTCATCACCTCCTTTAATTAAACAAAAGTCACCGCTGAAAAAAAAACAAAGCAGAAATGGCATCAAAATGCTGAAACTAAAGCTAGGAAGTGGCAGATAAATGTTATGCAAGATGTTATTCTGACCCTTGATAACTCAGGGCTAAGCCGGTGGGAGGCTCGTCATGTTCTAGTAGGACTTTTTTGAATAATGGTGTTTGTGGAGGAGGGAGTGATTTGAGTCTGAATGTTTGGGGAGAAGTGGCATGGGTGAAAACTTAAGTCTCAGTTCAATTCAATTTCTAGATTTTAGGTCACAGTCACTGTGGTGCCTTGCCCACATGCCTCCGGCCTTAACATTTCAATAGGACTTCACCAGTTCGCATCTGTAGGACTAAGGGCTTTCTTTGGCTCAGCTCTCTGCCCTCAGCTTTCTCTGCCCCCAGCTCAGCAAGCAGAAGTCCCAGGATCAGTGCCCTGATAGAAGGCAGTGCCCTTTAGGCAATCTCTGAATTCAGATGGTGTCTAAAAGCTCCCTCGCCTGTTGAGCGAGATCATGTGGCGACGCACAATCTAGGCTGGCTCTGGGTGATGCTGGCAGCCTGACGCTTCAGTGGCCCCATGCTAACTTGACATATTCCTGCTGTTGTTTTCCTCCCTTCCAGATTCACTCCCTCACTCCCCTACCACTGTTTTGTGTGCCTGTAGAACAATCTGCTGCTGCTGCTGCTGCTGCTAAGTCGCTTCAGTCGTGTCCGACTCTGTGCGGCCCCATAGACGGCAGCCCACAAGGCTCCTCCATCCCTGGGATTCTCCAGGCAAGAATACTGGAGTGGGCTGCCAGTTCCTTCTCCGGTAGAGCAATCTACTTCCACTCAAATCCTTGCCTTAGCATCTGCTTGTGGAAAAACCCACACTTAGACAAGTTTAATCTTGCATTTGCTTTAAGATACTTGTAGGTATACCGTTCATGCCTTTATATTCTTTCCATTCAATTTTGATATTTTCAGTTGATAGAACTAGTTATGATATGAAGATTTCAAAGGGTTTTAGTAATGGCCTTGAAGAGATCATCTTATTACCTTGTTCATGAGACTCATTGACATCTGAAGTTACCAAGGAGTAAGAAGATGGAAAAAAGGGGTCAGTATAATAGTGGCACAGCCCAGGGGGAGATAGGCGCTGGTTTCCAATCCTGGTGCTATACTTGTTATCTATGTGAACTGGAGCAAGTCATTTCACCTCTCTGCCTCTCAGTTGGATGCTTCAGACATGAGGGAGCTATTCACCCCTAACCTATACAGTTGTGAGTGTTCAGTAAGATGTGTGTAAAGTGTTTAGGATAATGCTTGTCACTATTAGCTATGAACAGTTCAAGGCTTAAGTGGTTACTAACCAGGAATACTGAGTCCATTAAGATGTCTTCATGCATAAAACAGAAGATCCAGTGGAGCATGGCTTACACCAGTACAGACGTCCATGGTCTGCAGCAGACATCTGCCATATCCCCATTTTGCATATTTCACTGCCTAGAATTAAGGCATATACCCATTATGTAACCAGGAGTCAAGCTTACAGTCAAGACAAATCTCCTCTTTCTCTATATTTTTCATTTTATTTCTGATACCAGGTCACAAGTGTATCAGATTGTTTGTTATTGCTGTGTAACAAATTATCCCAATAAGCCTCAGTAGCTTGGCTGGCACTGCTGACCGTGATTGAGTTTATTCATGCATCTGCGGGTTGGCTGGTATACACTAGGCTTGCTACAGGTCTGCAGTTGACCAAGTAGCTCTGTTCCCCCTGATCCTCATTCTCCTTGAGTCATGAGGCTGGCTGGGGCATGTCTTCTCACCACCATAATAGAGGCCCAGGTCTTAACGTCTAGGCTTGGAACTGGTCCTTATGCCATTAGTCAAAGCAAGTCACACAGCCACGTCTAAAGCCAAAGTGTGGGACCAGAGGCTCTGCCCACTGTGAAGCTACAGGGTGTGGATGCAGGGAGGGGGTGCAGGAGGGACCAGTCATTCATTCTATTATAACAAGTTGTCAAAACAAAGAACCTCTAAATAACCCACGTGGATGCTCTGAGCTCATATAGCACTGGTGTTTCTACCGTGATTTCTGCACTGGTTATTATATTACAATATTCTCTGGCGGCCCCCATGTCAGGAAAGCTGTTGCAAATGAGCAGGAGAGATCACTTGTCAGCTGGAGGGGTCGCCCAGGACCTGGTGACCTTCCAGCTCTAGCCGCCTGTGATTTGCCATCTGGGAAGAAAACCTCGCAGAGTATGAAAGCGCAGAAAGTAAGACAGAAGTGTCTTATTGAGAGAGTGAATGACGGCGGGTGGTGCTGGAGGCGGTTCCCGGCCACTTGTGCACGGCCCGCCCCGCCCTCCCTCGCGCACCCGGAGAGGAGCCGCAGTGCGCCTCGCCGGGGCGCCCCTAGCCTCTCCCGGGCCGCGAGCGCCCCCGTCGCAGTTGCCCGGCGTCCCCTTCCCGCCCGCGAGGACCTAGCCTCAGGAGGAGCCGAGGCCCGGAGCGGCGGACCGCAGCGGAGGTGGTGGCCCCGGGGCGCCCGGGGTTCCGCGCCCTCCCGAGGGGTCGCAGCAGGAGGCACGGAAGAAGGAGGCCCCCCGCGAAGATGCTGCAGCCCTGGGCTCTGGCGCTCCCACTTCTGCTCTCCTGGGTGGCAGGTGGAGTAGGGAAGGCAACCAGGTGAGTGTCTGGCTGACGATTGGCCCCGGGCCATGAGCTTCTCCGCCCCCCACCGTTGGCCCCTTTTCTTTGTCCCTCGTCCCTCTAGGCACCCGTGGGCATGTGTATCTGTGCGCGTTGAGCCGGAATTCAAAGAGGATGTCAGGCTGGGTGCGCCTATGGACTCCCCCGCGCGCCCCTCTGGCGGGCTTCGCAACACCTCCTTGGCATCAGCTGTGCCCCACCTGGCTGCGTCCTTAGGAGGAGGGAGACGTGCGCGGACCCACCGGTGCGTTCGGCCTCGGTGGGCAGCAGACATCCACCGTTGGGCCGGCGTGTGTGTCTGTCTGTGGGTGGCTGTGTTCCGTGCTTGTACCGTCCTGTGTTTTCCACTCTATTGGAAGGGGGCCAACTGATCGTCAGTGGCTAGTTTTGCTGGGGAAGGAGGGAGAAAACCAGAGGACGATCCATGGTGAGGGTTTACTGAGCCCTCCATGAGGGGCTGGGGGGCCCTCTACTCAATGCCTTTATGATTAAGGTTGATGAACTGGAAAGAAAGGCTGGGATTGTCAGATGAAATTGACTCTCTCTTGCCTGGCAATTCAGAGTCTGAAGCTGTTTCTTTACTTCTCACAAACTTTTCTAAGCCTTGAAACTTATTTTTCCAGAGATCAGCAAAGCCACCTAATAAATACACACTTACAGTGCATCGTGTAGGCCTGGCAGGGTCCTAAACACGTGAGAGATATGAACCCATTTAAAGCCTGTAAGTGCTCTGCCTGGAAGATACTGTTATTATAATCCTCGTGTTGTAGAAGAGAAAAAGGAGGCACAGAGAGGTCCAGCAGCTTGCCCCAAGAGGCACAGTCAGTAAATGAAAACACCAGCGTTGAAGCCCAGGCCATCTGGTCTGGAGTCCCTGCTCTTCCCCAGTGCTGCACTGTTGCTGTTGTTTAATCGCTCGGTCATGTCCAACTGTTTGCGACCCCATGGACTGTAGCCTTGCAGGCTCCTCTGTACATGGACTTTTCTTGGCAAGAATACCAGAGTGGCCTGCCATTTCCTTCTCCAGGGGATCTTCCTCGCCCAGGAATCGAACCTGCATCTCCTGCATTGGCAGGCGAGTTCTTTACCTTTTACTTTTTGAGCCACCAGGGAAGCCCTAGAACAGCCTTTTGGGAATCACTCACTGAAAAAGTATTCCTGTTTCTCTTGCTTTCCAAGGCATACCCTAGTTTCTTTCTCTGCTGTGGCACTGTTGAGCCCTATTGGGCTGGGCAGGACAATTATTTGTTCAGGGTGGTTAGAGAGCGATCCTATGTACTGTAGGATTCTTAGCAGCATCTGTAACCTCTGCACACTAGATCAGTAGCAACTTCCCTAGGTTGTGACAATCAGAACTGGGTCCAGACATTGCCCAAAGTACTGATATGGGGCTGGGGGGTTTGCACATTTGTTTCCAGCTGAGTGAGGACCTCTGCACTATTAGATTTTTAGTCAACAGTTTCTGTGGAGAGCTGGCTGAGAGCCTCGGTTTGGAATGGGCTTCTTAAAGGTGAGCCTAGCTATCTTTGTTTGAATTACAGGAAAAATCTTTCATCAGTGTCAGTCACAACATTAAGGGATTTTGAAGTTCAAATAAAATAAGCTTTAGACCCGGTTCTTAGAATGTATGATCACAAGTTTCAATTTTCCTTTTCGTGATAAAAATGTAAGGAGATGCAATTTGCTCATGATCACATTTCCTGGAATGCTAGAGGTTCTGGCATCGCTAGAAAGCCCACTTAAGAGACATCAAGTGCTATTTGGAGATGAGATTAATAGTTGTTTTAGCAGTGGACAAACTGACCTCCAGGAGCCTCAGTTTCAGAGGGCCACCAAATTAAATCAGAAGTCGAAAAGCTCCCAAGTTAAACCCAAGAATATTACAATGGAGGCTTGATGTCAGGATTCTGCAATTTCACAGTTTTAAAGAAGTGAGCTGTGGTTTCTTTCTGTGGTCTCAGGTTCACGAACTGGTACGCTCATTATCTGTGCAACATGCTTGGAAACGTCTCATGCTCAGTTTTTCAGGAACTGCCCAGGGACCAGGTGTAATCACCCCCAGCCCCCAGGTTACAGACGGCACGTGAAAAAGGCAAGGAGCTCGGAGCACGAGAGCGTGTCCACTGGTTATTTCCTGAGGTTTTACGACTTTCAATAAAAACTGACTGCTTTATAGGGATTTCTAAGATAAGCACCCGTTGTTTTATTTTTTAATTGAGACACCGTACCTTAATTTCAGTGACCTAGAAGATTATATGCCTCTTAAATGGCGATTAGTGTATTAGTAGTCAATTAATGGAGAAGGCAATGGCAACCCACTCCAGTGTTATTTCCTGGAAAATCCCATGGATGGAGGACCCTGGTGGGCTGCCATCTATGGGGTCACACAGAGTCAGACACGACTGAAGCGACTTAGCAGCAGCAGCAGCAGCTGTCAATTAACAGTCATCAAGTGAATAAATCCTCAGCAGCATGCATTTTTTCATCTTCAGTGTCAGAATTTGGCGTAAACCCTTTACTTTTATCTTGTATGCTACTTCAAACTAATATTCTAAGTATCGTTGACTTACAGTACTATTTTCAAGTGTACAACATAGTGATTCAGTATTTTTGTAGCTGACACACCATACAGAGTTCTTATAAAGTACTATTTCCCTGTGTGATCCCCATGCATTTTAACGCCATTTGGGCTTTGGGACTATTTAGATGCTCTCAACCTGCTTGGTCCAATACAGTAAATACAGTAGTCACTAGCCCCATGTAGTTGTTGAGTACTTGAAACATAACTAGTCCAAGTTGCGATGTGCTATGATTGCAAAATATATTTTGAAGACTTTGTAATAAAGAACATAAAGCATCTCACTAATCATTTTATATTGAATACATGTTGAAATGATAATGTTGTGGATATAGTGCATTAGATAAAATATATTACTAAAATTAATTCCACCTGTTTCTTTTACAGTTAAAACAATATGGCTACTAAAATTATATTTTTATTGCATGGTGTTAGTCTAGAACACTTACTGATCTGAGCTCCATCTCCAGCATTCCAGGTCCTGACACTGGTACCTTTCTGCCTTGGGCACATAAGATAAATATGCTATTAACTTTGCTGTTCTTGAGTTTGATGTGTGGAACAACTCCCTTCTTATATTTATGCAATATACATTTTTTTCTCTATTGAGTTCAAGTAACAATAATGTGAGAGAGAAAGGAACCACTGAGTTCATGTATTCATGGACAGAGGCCTGCTTTCTGCAAACTACACCCTGTTTGAGAATTGATTCTTCTCAGAACCCTGCTGAGGGAGTGCCACTGTCACAATTTTCCACAAACAGTGGCTTAAAATAGCATAAATTTGGGATTTCCCTGGTGGTTCCGTGGTTAGGACTCCGTGCTTCTATTGCCGAGGGCACAGGGAACTAAGATCAAATCAGTTCGATCCCTGGCCGGGGAACTTAAATCCCACAAGCCTTGCAGCATAGGGCAGGGGTGGGAGCAGGGATATACATTGATTTTCCTAGAGTTCTGGAGGTTGGAAGTCCAAAATTTGTCTTATGGGGCTAGAACTAAGCTGTTGGCAGGATTTGTTCCTTCAGTAGGCTCCATGGGAGAATCCATTCCTTGTCTGTTAGACTTATAGAGGCTCCAACAGTTCTTGGCTTGTAGGCACATCACTGCATCTCTTCTTCCTTTGTCACCTTGCCTTTTCTCTAACTCTTAATCATGTTCCTCCCTCTAAAAAGAACCCCTGTGATTATACCTGGCCCACTCAGAAAATACAGGGTGACCTCCCTGTCTTAAGATGCATAAGAGCACATGTGAAATTTCCCTTTTGTTCCATAAGGTAACATTTCGAGGTTCCAGGGATTATGACATGACCATCATTTGGGGGGTCATTATTCAGCCTGCCACAGGAAGTCTGAGCTATGAGTCTGTTGTTCTTGGTTTTATGGATTGGATCATATATTTAAACTTGATTTTAATGACTTGTGAGTGGTTGGCATATCATTCCTTTCTTTATTCTTAAAACCAGGGTTTGTGGGAATATACCCAAAACTCAAGAGCTGAGTGTTTCTAGGAAATTGTGACCATGAAATGCCCAATTACAGTATAGAAATCATTTCTGAGCAGTCTTGTTTCAATCATTTCATTGGTTTAAGGGGTGTTAAAGTCCTATTTCTATGTAATTTATGTACATAATCTAAGGTTATGTAAACATTAAAATGAATAAGTATATTATCTAGTCTTCATAAATCAGATTGGCATTCAGCTAATTTTGTTGAAACACTATTATGTGTCAACACTTTTTCAGTGTGCTTTCAGTCAACTGTCTCTTCAATCCTAAGAAATAAGTATTGGGTCTCTTTGACAGACAGTGGGATGGAGAAAATTTAAATTAGATAATTCCTCAAGAACTGCATTGGATTTGGTCTTCTGCCCTAACAACAGTGACATTCCAATATTTCAAATTTGTTTCTCAAGAAAAATTGAATACATAAAAGCTGACGTTCTTACAAAGTACTTTCTCACATGTTATCACCAGTGAGCCTTTTGAGCTTGATGCTTGCCCAGCACCATCAAGGGATGTGTGTAGAATAAGTGGGGAGTTCCTGGTGCTCCATTCTCCCAAGCCCTTCCTCTCTAGGTTTCCATTCTCTCAGAAGCAGACTCTTGAGACCAGAATTCAAATGTGCATGGTTTATTTGGGAGGTTGTCCCCAAAAGTTCTAGTTTTAGTAGGACAGAGAAGGGAAAGACATGTTATGTAAATGAGTTACTATTGTGATTTAATTCTGCTGGGGAGTTCTAGAAGACAGTAGGGCCCAAGCCTTAGAATGATCCCCGCTGAGGCTCAGGAGCTGGGGTATCTGTGCTCCCAACAGTCATTGCTGGAGGGCCTCAGAGGATACCGAGTCTACGTGTTCAGCTTGCCATGCTCACAGGCAGCGTGGGCTCTGTAAGGAGCCCTGC